TGGAGTAATTTGAAGCAGAAAGAAAATCCTGTAGCTTGCTTAAAAACAAAACAAAAACCAACCAAGCGCAGCCAGTTGCTTTTGAGTCGATTGAGACTCATGAACCCCCCATACTTGAGGGCTTTGTTGCCAGGTGCCCCTGGATGAACTCAGACTTCAGCCTGGTGGTTAAAGCAGCCAGCGGACTAACCACACCAGCAGGGGGTTCTCTAGTTCACTTAGGACAAAATGGGATGAAAATTCAGGTTTGCTTTATTCTACCTCTCTAAGCACATGCACTGTCTTCTTTTTCTCCTGTTATGGTCTTCCTCTTTCTAGTCCTCCCTAATAATTAGAATCAGAGCACAGGAGGGACTAGTTCTCTTCTTGGCTCTTTGCTTGGGAAGTTTGTGGATTTTGCAAGACCCAATTATCTATGGACCAATTATCACATGGTTGGAAGGTTATCAATTTCCAGATGAATAGAGTAGAGAAATGGAGAGTTTGGTAAACAACTTTGTTTGCATTTAGTAGTCAAGCATGAATGTATCATCACCTCTTAAGCCTGGATTAAAGAACAAAACCTGGGAGGGGGGGAATCCCAAAATTGTTCTCTTGAGGAAAGAAAAATCGAAGTGGCAGGATCATAGCATTCAAAGAAAAATCTAATTTAATTTTCTTATGGTTGTAAGCAGATATACAACACAGCATTTGCCAATTCCACATTTGATGCATGTGTACTTCAGTGACATGAGTTACACTGATCATGTACAGCCCTCACTGTGATCTGTTGCTATGTTCCCATCACCGACATGCACTACATGGCAAGTACACCTTTATTGTGATGATTAATATTTTTGAAAATAAAAGAAAGCTACACACCCCCCTAGTTTAGCTTATTATTTACTTATTAAAAGCCTTTCCCTATAACACCCAAATTAATTGTATTGAGCTTAAAATTTTACATTTGGTTTTGTAAGAGAGATTTTATCTGTGTTTATCCCTAGTGAATTTCATTATTTAATAGTCTCTCACAAGGAAGTAGCTTATTTCCTAGGGTTTACTATCCATGGGAAGGATGCTCTGATATGCATATTTGTCAGGGTTACTGGAAGTTTCGTCCTGATGGCATTCTCAGACACTGTGGCCGGGGAAAAGTCAGATAGATGGAAACTCCAAGCCCATGAAAGCACTGCCTGGGGCACCCGGTCTGCAAATGTCCATTGCTTCACCTGTTGCCTTGAACAAGAGTTCAGGCTGGCTTGTACCTCTTTCAGAGATGAAATTGATTCAAGAAATTCCATGTTTACTCTGCAAGTGAGAGACAGCAGGAAACAGAGGGGGTTGCTACCTCCAATTTGCTTCAAAAAGGACAGCAAAAATCAAGCAAGTTAAACTATGGGAGAAAGTCTGGGCTTTTTACTCCAGTAAAAAGTCAGTGTTGCACACTCACACGGGCAGTTCTAGCCTGTTCTCTAGCGTCACTGTGAGTCAGGGTCGACTCAATGTCACTGAGGCACTGATGAGACAGAAAATCCGGATTTTCAATGATCACACGAAACAGTGATGTCTACCTATACTTCTCCAGGGATTGTCAGCCCACCAACCCCAGAAGCCTCACACTCCATTCTTTATCTAAATGACGGATGTAAAGCAAGAATTTTTTTACTGCAAGAGAGAGGGCTGTTACATTTTGGATTTCCAACAAACAAAATCTTAAATTTTGCTATATTTCTGGCATTTGATGAACAGCAGGCTAACTTTCCACCTCCCTGCCCCTCCCTCTCTTCATATGCAACAGGGCATCAGATTGGATGGATAAAGCAATGCTGTTTGGTTCCAACATAATCAATAACTTTTTAATAGCACCTATCTAAAAGTGGGTTTTTGAACTTCAGACTTTACAAGGTCAGCAAATGAGTTGAACTAGTTGGGATTCCTTTAGGAACAATGGAAAGACATGTCTTTTCAAAGTGGCCCACAGTTTGAGAAGGTTTGTTAATGCATCTAATGGAAGTCAGAACTTTTGAAGGCCCACTTTCTCTAGCTTTTTTCTTGTGTCTGTCCATCTACTTATGCCAGGACTGAAAGGGACTCTGCTGTTTCGAGACAATGCGTGACAATATTCAAAAGAAGACAGCGAGAGCCTCTACTCCACGAGTCCCAGCATAGATGGCTGTTTCCCACTACAGATAACACACGTGTCATACTTGTTTCATTGTCAGCTAGGCAAATACCCCACCATTTCTGCTCTTTATTTCTATAGTTATTGACTTCAATTGCAGATGTAGTGTTACCTAATGGTTTCACTTAAGATGATCTGATAAACATTTCACATGCAACTGTTGAGTTAATGTGCAATAAGTACCACGTCTTAATGCAAATGACACAAGCCTTTTATGCTTGTTTGCCAGCAGCTGGGGTTCTGCACCCACCCCAGTGTTTGGTGTAAACAAGTTAAGTGAGTTTTTTTTGCAGTATCATGTTAAAAAGTTGACACAGTAGCATCTCTTATGAAAATACCTCCTAAAGGAGGGAATAGTTGACAATCATAAAAGGTATGGTGTAAAAATGCAGCATCAAATCCACAGAAACAAATGCACATTTTCAATTGTTCATAGTCTGATTACCAGGGACTATGAAACTCGTGGCTTGATCTCTTGGCCATAGCTTATTATACAATTATGACCGAAATAAACATTCTAAACTCTTTTTATACACACAAGCAGAAGATGAAAGAAAGTGAATAGAAGGAAGAAAATGAACAGAGAGATGTGATTCACCTGCAATACGGGAGAACTGGAGAATGAGGCTAAAATTCACTTATGGAATATCACGAGACACATGCAGTATATACATGGGACTACTATGTCAGAACTGTTTTTAATTTCATCATCCTCACACACAATGTACACGGCATGAGATTTCTGTAGCCACATTATTTCTGACATAATGGATTACTCTGACTTTGACCATTTCGATGAATTATGGTTTCTATAGCAAGGGAGTGAACTGAAGGGGTGGATTCATCCCTGGGGCTGATTTGGAGTGGGGGTGACACGCAAGAAGTTTAGGGAAAAAAGAGTCATCTCCGTTGAATGCCCATGCCTAATGAAAATTAACTAGATATACCACACATAAGGGATTTTTAAAAAAAGAAACCAGGCACACATTAGAAGCCTACAAGGAAGACGCAAGGCTTGGGCATGTTTGGCTAAAGAACCCAAAGCTTGGGCATGTTCAGATTAAAGCCAGGGGACATGCGCACTAGAAACCAGCAATGCCATGTCCCAAATGCACACTAACACACATCCGCTAGAACTCTGGGATACGTTCGTCCATGTCTACCAAGTGGGGGGTTGGAAAGGGTAACAGCAGGAACACATCCCTGCACATCCTCCTTGCAAGGCATCTTTATGTGGTTCTTCACAGGATGTGCAGCATGATTGTCCATGCTCCTGGCATGGACGTGGACTCTAGCGTGGCTCCCTGCGAGGCCCTAAATGATGTCCGGAGACAGTGTACTGCCCCAAACTTCCTTTTCACTCATCAAAGCTTGTTTGGATTTACAATAATGCTTCTCTGTGTGATATTTTTCAGTGTAGAGAATCAGGAAGGAGGAAATCATCCCCAAACCTAACGCTCCATTTCTTTTGAACCGCTGAAGGTATGTGGGGAATCAGGAATGAATATAAAGCATGGGATCCACAACTATTAGTTAGCTAGATTTAGGGACAAGAGGTGTTGTCCCCCCAATGCCTGCAAAGACCCATATACAGGGGTTGGAGAGAAATCAAGCAGCCTTTGGACACCTATGGGAAAAGCCAAACTGAGCATGCACAGACTAGGACCCCTAGGCCCAGGTAAAACCAGTACCTGGGGCACACCTAACTTAGCTACATTGCAGAGCTGGGCCTGAACTCAGCCCATGGGGTCAACCAATACCTTCAACCATGCCTCTTCCAGCCACGGGACAGGATAGAATAAAGGCAGGAAACAGCCCTGCACGCTCCGTTGGCACCCCCTCTTGGCCTGCTGCCAGACTGATTTGCTCTTCCCTTGCTCAGGGGCATGCTGGAAGGAGGACCTCTAGTGCGCAGGGTGTGTTTTATGGACTGCATGCCTCCTCAGGGCCCGCTTGGGGCCTACTCTGGGGTCCATCCGCACTTGGCCTTTTGGCCTTTGGGGATTCCCCAGTTCCGCACTTGTGGGCGTACTTTTCCACGTGGTGGGGTGCCCAGTTGTGAACCCCAGTGCAGCTTCTGCTTTCCAGAAATAGTGTGTATCCTTTGAGACTATAAAACCTGGAACTTTCCCTGTCCTTCACAAAAACTCTTGGATCACACAACGTGAATTGGGTGTGGATTCTTGCAGCTTGTGAAGCAGAGAACTGAGGTGTAACCCACTCCAGAAACGTAACACAATGAGTGGGGGAAATGTGTTGAGAATGATCAAAACAATGGGGTGAAACATATTCAATACATGTGGCTGTAGGCTTAATCATAGTATGAGGTGCCCACCCACACTTACTGCCTTCAAATTGATTCAGTCTCATAAGTGACCCTCTGAGACTGTACATCTCGATGGTAGCAAGCCCCGAATTTTCTCCCCTGGAGCAGCTGGTGGGTTTGAGTAACATACCGTGTGTTTAACAGAGCAGTGCTTTGGCCATTACACCACCAGGGCGCATTGAAAGGTGAAAGTTTACAAAAGGCTAAATGCTACAGTACTGGTGCCATGGTAAATCCACTGTCTTCCCTTCCTTAAATATTTATGTCTAAAGACTTTATCTGTGAAAAGTTGGAAAAGAATTTTTTCTTTTATCTTTACTGGCCATTTGTGTGTACTGGTCACATTGGTATATTGTTTCATTGCTCTTACTATTTTTAGATTGTTTTAGCTATTGTAGCTACTTTTTATATTATTGTCATAAAACCTCACACACACAAAACTAGAAATTACTTTAAACGTAAGCATTTATGTAACGAAACTACTCCTATTTAACACGGAGGACTTAGAGGATGGGGAGATTGTGTCCCACCTACTTTGGACATGCTATTAGAAGAGACAGGCTCCTGGGGAAAGACATTCCGCTAGGTAAAGTAGAGAGGAAGATGCTCAAGGACCGGGATGGACACAGTGGGTATAACCGTGGGCTCAAACATGATGCTTGTGAGGATGGCACAAGCCTGGGCAGTGTTTCCTTCTGTTGCACAAGGGTCACTATTAGTTGGAACTAACTTAATGGCACCTGAGATAGTGAAGGTTTATTGTGCCAACCTGGCCGATAAACACATGTGGGGTTAGCTGAAGGGCAGAGGGATAAATGGCTCAGTGAGCCTCGCCTTTCGAGTTCTCGAGTTCTCGGGGCTCTTGCTTTCTGATCGTTGGACCAGGGTGCAGCTGCCTTAGCCAGTCCCCTGCTTCAGCTGGCAAGGCTCACTTCCTGCAAGACATTCCCAAGGAGAAGCCACATGGACCTACCCCGATGCAGCCCTGGGTGCTGGAGCAGCCGTGTGGAGACACCTGCCAGTGCTGAGATGCTTACATGTTCACTGACTCAGCTTTGCTCCGAAGCATCATTGCATGTGTTTTATGAGATGGAGGAGGACTTTGTAGATCAGTGTCAGACATATGAGCTAGTGTTGGACTTGTGGGCTTGGACAGCACTGGTTGGGATGCTTTCTGAATGTACACTTACCCTTTATATAAAACTCTCTCTTATAGACATATGAGTTTTGGTGGATTTGTTTCTCTAGTCCACCCAGACCAACGTTGCACCTAACAGCAGCAGCAGGAGCAACAACAACAACAACATTTAACATACGAGAGCAATGTTCTTTTCTTCCTTTCTTTTTCCCATCCTTACTGTTCTCCTTTCTTCTTTTCTTCCATCCTCTCTTTTCTTTATTGCTTCATCTTCTTTTTTTATATTAACCCAAACACACCTCCCTTATGTGGACTTGATTTTGACCCATAGTGACCCTGTGGGACAGAGAGGCACAGCTTCATAGGGGTCCCAAGGCTGTAATCTTTGTGGGAGCAGACTGCCACATCTTTAGCTCGTGAAACAGCTATTGGGTCTGAACCACCTACCTTTTAGTTAGTAGCTGAGTACCTTAACAACTGATGTGAAGGGCTCCTTTTTATGTTAAATACTATTTATTTAGACAATTTCTTTGTGGTGGTGGTTGTAATAAAAACAAACAAGCCCATCCCCATGGAATCTATTCTGTGTCTTGGTGACTTCGTGTGTCAGGCATTAGAGGTGCTCCAAAGGGGCTTCTTGGCTGTGCTATGTAAGGGCACAGGTCACCACGCCTCTGAGTGGGCTTAACCTCCAACCATTACATTAGTCGATGAGCACACGTCATGTGTGTGTGTGCTCAGAAGGCTTCGCTGTTGCTATATGGCTACATTAATTATTAATTTTAAAATAATTTAATGATTACAGATTATGTTGATTACCAACAATCTCCTAATTTTGACTTATTCTAAAGTTCATCTTGAATATCTCATTTAAAAAAATAGCTGTTTGTGAGGGATATTTTCTTAGTTCTTGGATGTAAGAATATCTTTACTGCCTCCAATCATGAATGACAGCTTCACAGGACATGTCATTGAATCCAAGTCAGCAGTGATCGCGACTTTATAGATACTGAACAGTTTGTTTTTGACCCATAGAACTGCAAAAGGAAATTATGGCTTCAATCGAATTTTTTCTTTTTGGGTTTGCTTTTCTGCAGGAATGACTTTAGCTTGTTTAATTTTCTCTCTATTCTTGTAATCATCAAAGCTTGTGTTTTTATTTTTTTGATTTCTCATTAATTTCGTCTAGCATTCAAGTAACACTTTTTAATCTAAACTCAGAATTCTTTTAGCTCAGTGACTCACCTTCATTTAGATTTTCATTGCTGTTTCTCCTCCAGCTTCTATGGAAGACTTTTCTCTCCCAAATCATTGCTGTGGAATTCTTATGATAAACACAAGGGAACCCCAGGATGAGTCTTCAAACTTGCCATGCAATTTGTACTTACTACATGGCTCCCTTCACCTTTCCTTCTCAATTCTGTACCTATTCCTTGGGTAGACTACATCATCTCTCTGCTTTCTGTAGCAACCCATCTGCTTCTCACTGCCACCACTGCTGAATATTTGGAAACATAATTTCCATCTGGAAGCAAATTCTCCTTGTGTATATTTTAGATATACTACCCTTTACAATTTCCTACATAGTGAAAGTAGAGGTTTTTAAGGTTTTGCCTATTTGTCTCAAGAAGGCTGTTTTGCAAGTGGAAATTAGCTGTGATGCTTCATTTCAGTCTACATGTTTAAGTAAATTTAGACAGATTTAGACTCGTTTAGCATTTCCCTCATCCGTTTATTTTTACAGAGATGTATATTTATTCACTATTAAGAATTGAATGATTCTTATCTGAGAAATGCGGGGACCCTCTTTAAAACTTTGAGAGTCAGAGACCAAGAAAATACATATGTATGCTTAATTTAGTTTAATTTCTTTTTTCATATTTGATTGGAGTTGTCTGGGAGGGGAAGCGGAACACTGCCACCCAAGGCATTTGTAAGGCCGAAAACTTCATTCTGATGGGAATGCCAAGTGTTCTCAGTGGTTGCCTGCATTTGTTTCCTAGGGCTGCCACAGTCAAGTGCACAAAGTGGGTGGCTTTAAGCAACGCGATTTTATTATGTAACACTTCTGGAGGCTAGTAATCCAAATTCAGGGTGTCAGGAGGCCAATGTTTTCTTTCAATGAAGACCTCTTTTCATGTCGCAGCATCTGTTAGCCATACAGTTCATGGCTTGCAGCAGCAGCAGCAGCAGCAGCAGTCGCCAGCAGTGGTAGCTCCCTCATCCCATGGTCCAGTCTCCTCTATCTCTGTCTCTTCTCCTCTTGTACAGGACATCACTCAGATGAGATTAGGCAGCACGGCTTCAGATTAACCTAAGTGATAACATCTTCAAAGATTGCATTTCATAGGCACCAAGTCTCAAGCACACATATTTTTGAGGGGACACAACTCAATCCATTTTAGGATTCAAAGTGAGCTCCAGCAGCATCAAACTCTTCTCACCGGCACCAGCATGTTGCATGTGGTAAATCACCGACAACAAATACAAGCTGGGAGGGACTGCTGCAGCATGCTACTTTGTCAACTTTTATTAAACTTTCTAAAGTCTCTCTTGGCATTGCAACTTCTCTCTCAATGCCTAATTCATCACTTTGAATGTTGATTCAAGCTGAATTCCCACCCACTTACACTCCAGGCTAACTTCTTTGCATTTGGTAAACCTCAGGTTGGTCGTCCTCCCCACCCTCCGTATAGTTTTATTGATATAAAATTTACATATCATACATTTCCATAGTTAAGTCATTTTTAAAAAGAGTTGCGTGTGCATCATCACAATCAGTTCTAGTGCACCTCACTTCCCACATTCATTATTTGCTCCTCAATTCCTCCCCTCCCCAGATCCACAACAAACCATTGAATCAGCTATTGTCTTTATGCCTCCACTCCTGTGCTTCCTGTACTCGGAAACCAAACAGAAGCAAGAAAACACAACATGAAGCAGAAAGAAAAAAATTAAAATGTAATAAAGATAAAAGTAAAGAGCAAAACTTAAGGACAATATTCCGACTCAGAGCAGCCAGTGCACAGAGAGGATCACAGGGCCAGCCCCAACACGAGACAAGCCGTCTCTCACTGACCCATAGCTCTGTGGAGCACAGCACTGGAGACCTGGTCCAGGAGATGTGCTGATGCGACCTGCCGCCTCTTGGTGAATCACTAAGGGTGTGCAGCAGAGCAGCAGGGGCAGCAAGGCAATTATGTCCCCAAGGAATGCCAAAGGTGGACTTTGGAGCCAGGGCATGGCATCCCAGTGGACTCTACTGGAAAACACTCATGAAGGTGTTTGAGGGCTTTTCTTTTTTTGCTGTTGGTTTTGTATTTTTTTGTTTTAGTGGTTGTGGTTTTGTTTTTTGTTTTCTTTTGTTGTTATGTTTAGCTTTCTACTTTGTTTTTGCACATATTATTGTCTCTGCATGTCTTTCTGGACAAGATTGATGGGATGAACAGTCCAAAGGAGAGAACAATGGGACCAACAGTTCTGGGGGACAAGGGAAAGAGGGGGCTGGGGGAAAGGAAGGGCGATGCCAACAAACCCAGGGATAAAGGAAGAACAAGTGATCTAAAATAGATGGAGAAGAGGGCATAAGATGCTTGGTAAGTCTTGATCAAGGGCAATGTAGCTGAGAGGAATTACCAAAACCTGAATGAAGGCCAAACATGATAGTGGGACAAGGGGAAAGTAAAAAGAAATAGAGGAAAGAAATGGGAGGAAAAGGACATTTATAGAAGTTTAAATACAGGCCTGTATATATGTAAATGCATTTATATATAATGATAGGGGAATGGTGTGGTCCCCCATGTATTTATTTATAAAGTACTACGGCAGCAGATGGACATTGGACCTCAACTCAAGCACTCCTTCAACACAGGAACACTTTGTTCTACTAAGCTGGCACTCTGTGATGCTCACCTTCCCTGATACAATTGCTGAAGACAAAATGGGTGCATAAGCAAATGTGGTGAAGAAAGCTGATGGTGCCCGGGTATCGAAAGACATAGCATCTGGGGTCTTAAAGGCTTGAAGATAAACAAACGGCCATCCAGCTGAGACGCAACAAAGCCCACATGGTAGAAGCACACCAGCCTGTGTGATCATGAGCTATCAATGGGATCAGGTATCAGGCATCAAAGACACAAAACAAAACAAAATCATATCGATGTGAATGAAGGGGCGGGCAGAGTGGAGACCCAAAGCCCATCAGTAGTCAATCGCACACCCCCTGTCAGAAGGGCCACAAGAAAAGATGAGTCAGTCAGGATGAGTACAGCACTGACCAAACACACCACTTTCCTTTAGTTCTTTTATGCTCCCTCCTTCCCCCCACTATCATGACCCTAATTCTACCTTACAATTCTGACTAGACCAGAATATGTACACTGGTACAAATAAGAGCTCACAAGACAGAGAATCCAGTACAGATAACCCCCTCAGGAACAATAAGGGAAGTAGCAAAACTAGGAGGGTAAGGGAAGGGATGGGGGAGAAATGGGGACCTGATCGCAATGATCAGTTTATGGCTTCCTCCCAGAGGGACAGACAACAGAAAAGTGGGTGAGGGAGAGAGTGGTAGGTGTAAGACATGAAAAAAAAAAAAAAAAGAAAAAGAATTAGTAAGGGTTTATGGGGGGGGGGGGATAAAATGAGCTGATACCAAGGGCTCAAGTAGAAAGAAAATGTTTTGAAAAGAATGATGGCAACTTATGTACAGATGTGCTTGACACAATGGATATATGTATGGATTGTGATAAGAGCTGTAAGAGACCCCAATAAAATTTAAACCAAAAATTAAAAAACACAAAAGAAAAGGCCACCAGAAATATTAAAATAAGCCAGAGAGACACTATCTGTTGAGGCGCAAGAGAGAAATATTTAAATTCAGTTTGGGTCAAGAGTGAGGTCAATTGACTAAGTATCACGTTCTACTGAAGTCCCATCCCCATAATCAAGTTTGCAGTAATCTATGTCTGCTAGAACAGCTATCTAAATCCCTGGACCATGGCCAGAGGGGATCTTCCAGAGGCTTAATACAAATAGATCCTCTGCAGGTAGATTACGGGCTCCCACTTTCCTCCATCGTCTTCTACAAATTGGGTGTTAACAAGGTAAGCTCTGATACATTTCTTAGGCTGGCCTTTCTCTCAATTTGATCAGAGAACAAAATCAAAACAAAACTTACTGATGTTGAATCAATTCTGACTCACAGAACCCACATAGTAGATGTTACTGAAGCATCTGGCCTTTGTATACCACTGTTTATTTTTATTGATGAGATGTGTGAATTATGGAAATTTATGTTGCTATTTCTATTATTGGTAAGATATTTTTCTTTGGTTATCTTTGGGTGTGAGTTGTGTGTGTGTGTGTGTGTGTATGGTTCTTGGACCACAATATTCAATTGAGTCCCCTCTTGGTTAATATGTTTGTAGGGACAAGGCTAGGCTTGATTACCATGATTTTGGTCTGCAATTGTTCAATGACATTATTAAAATATCATTTTATTCTTTAACTATATTTTTAACTATCTCCATCAAATATACTTTCAAATATCTCAGTCTTACTATTTTTGTTTGCTTTCTGTTATATTAACTTGTGCAGAGCAAAGTGACAAGAGTTGGGTTTCCTTGTAATTCTCTTTGAATGTCCTGAGATAACTTCTACCTTTGGTGTCGACTGGATTGTATACCTCTTATTGCCTACATAAAAACAAAAAACCCAACTCTCCTCTAGATAAATATTGTCGGGAAGATTCTTCCTCTTCTATGTTCTTAGTTTTCGCTTTTCCAGCTCATTATAAAGCTCCACTTCAAAGACATTTCTTCTGTTGGGGTGAAGTTAGCACAGCAGGGCAGAAACACAGTGTTGCGATATAATTGTTTTAAGCCTGTTACATAAGACAGGAGGAGGTTATTAAGAACAAAGTTTCAAAGACATAAACTTTTAACTTCTACCACTTTAGGCAACAAATTAATCAAATTTGTTGTTTAAAACATATATCTTCTACTAGAAATTAGGAGGTTCTTAAAGAAGTAGTTCCAATAAAATAGTATTTTCTTTTATTTGAACATTTTTGTTTAATTGTTTGCTTATCCTCTGAAGAACATTAACTAAAATCTACTTCAGGGGATCAAATATTTCTTATGTTTCCTTCATTCTTCAGACTTGACTTTTCTTTTTAGTCGTATAAAGTTGCTGGTGATGAGGATGAAGATATTGATCTTTATAATTTGTCTTGTTTGACTAAAAGTCCAATTACCAAGCTAAATAGTTGTGTTATTGTATTTCAGCATATTCCTTGAATCAGAACCAACCAAAGTTAATTTTTTCCTCTTAAGTGTTGACTCTTTTTCCATGTAGTGATTTCACAGACTGGAATCAGAGTTGTCAGATAAAATAGGGATAGAATAACTTCTCAGTATCTTGATCTTGCAGAGCTGTGGAACAATCCACATACAGTATTGGCATAGCTTTGGCACGTGGTTAATAATACAGGTAGTGGTGATGATGATGATGACCCTGATTAGGAGAAGAGGAGGAGGAGAAGCAGGAGACGATGGTACTGAGGTGATGATGATGATGAGCCTGGCATGAGGCACATCTTCTCCCAGGCCCCCAGGTTACTGAGCTGTTCGAGAATAAGTATTTCAGAAAACAAAATGGATTTGTTCTTCATTTATTTACAAGATGCACTGAAAAGCTTTCTATTACCCTCAATTTGTCTTTTCTTCTTCACATCCTACTCTTTTTCTAGTTCTTTCTCATATCTCTCATGAATAAGGAAGTCTAAATTTACATAGTGAAGTACTTTCATATTTGTGTTTAGGATTTTGTATAGAAAAAGCTATCAAACCATTAGGGACTTCTGCACTTTTGGCAGTAGGGTGGCTGCCGAGATTAGCCATGGCAGTAGTGTGGCACACTATGTGGGTGGCTTTTCAAGAGCAGTTTTTCAACTGCTAAATGGTGGTAGCGAGGGGGGAGGGATTTCTCCACTTGACTAGGTTCTCCTTGTAATTTAGCCTCTCAAATAATATCAATATACATTTCATGTTAAAAACAATACAATTTCAAGCTTAACATACTAGTTTTGATTTTGTTCCTTATAAAAAGTGTTCTACTGTCTGTGAGTAACTACATTGCTTACCTTCCAAATTCTGGAATGTTGTTCCTGTTCCACTCCTGCTTGTACCTCTTTCTTCTTCCGAAATAGGAGTGTTTTCTAAAATAAGCCCTTTGCAGTTCTCCTTGCTTCTGATACTTCTCTCAGTGCTCGAAGATGTGCTCGACCATCACAAGCAGAATGGTTACCATTATCCTTTCTGTGCTCCTTTATTAATATTTGTGCTCACCTCCCATGTTCAGTATGGTAATGCTCCTCAAGGAGCTGAACCACTACCTTACTGTATTGTAGTGATTTATTTATGGTTGTAGTCTTCGTAACTTCCATCTAATGGCTGGGTGGGACCATGAATTTTTAGTGTACTTCTCTTTCACTGCTGGGTGTGGGTAAGAGAAGGTGGTGGAAAATGCTGATAGAATTATATGAATCAGTTGTGAGTGCTTGTTAGCAGGGTTAATTGTCATGGAAACATCTTGGCATTCTTATACAGTGTTTGGTCGATTTTGCCATCTTTTTTTTTCATTTAAAAAAATCATTTTATTGGGGGCTCATACAACTCTTTTTTTTAATCTTTCAAAAAAATCATTTTATTAGGGGCTCATAAAACTCTTATCACAATCTATACACACATCAACTGTGTAAAGCGCATTTGTACATTCATTGCCCTAATCATTCTCAAAACATTTTCTCTCCACTTCAACCTCCGGCATTAGGTCCTCATTTTTCCCCTCCCTCCCCGCTCCCCCCTCCCTCATGAGCCCTTGATAGTTTATAAATTGTTATTTTGTCATATCTTGCCCTATCCGCCGTCTCCCCTCACCCACTTTTCTGTTGTCCATCCTCAGCCATTAATAATGCCTCTGGCTGCTTTTTTACCATCAACAAGGAAAATTACACTGAGCTGAACACTGTGAACCTCCACATCACAGAAGACCCTGGCGAGTACTTGTGTAATGCCACCAACTCCATTGGCTTCGACTCCGTGGTCACCATCCTCAGAGTACGAAGCCACCTGGCCCCGCTCTGGCCTTTCTTGGGCATCCTGGCCGAAATCATCACCCTTGTGGTGATCACCATTGTGTATGAGAAGAGGAAGCGGCCCGACGAGGTTCCTGACGACAATGAACCAGCTGGGCCGATGAAAACCAACTCCACCAACAATCACCAAGATAAAAACTTGCGCCAGAGAAACACAAATTAGTACTGCTTCTAATTTCCTTCTCCACCTCTTCTACAAATGCTGGGAAATGCTGGTCCAGAAGGCGTGAGCGGAGGAAAGGGCCTAGATCGCCAGCGCCCCAGGCGGACTGCCCATAGGCAGGGGGCAGCTCCTCTGATGCCAGGAGAGACTGCGGGCATATCATAAGAGGCCACTTGTTAGAGTCTGAATCACAACCCTGCCTGGCCTGCTTCTCACCCAAACTCTCTCAAGACCTTGTGAACTGTGACCTTCAAAAAATCTCACATTCTGGACAGTGGCAAAGCCCTGGACACATGTTCTCGTGAAACTACTGTACTTTGTGACAGAGATAAGCAAACACGCAGGCTCTACCTGAGCTAAGCGGGTCACCGATTTCCTTCCCCGTGAAGCACTGAGTCTGGTGATCTCTGCGCGGTGGCAGCAGCTGCGCTGGAGGCTGGCAGGATGGGGAGGAGGAAACAGCAATGAGGACACTGGCGGAGCAGAATCGTGAACGCAGGCCACAAGGGGTTGGAACACCTGTCACGGCGTGAGAAGAGCAGCAGTCGGTGAAGGGAGGCGGTCCCATATAGTTCCCTGCAATCGGTTCCCTCTTTATTACCCACTCTCCCTCTACCCTCCCTGTCTCACCACTCACACCACTGGTCCCTCAGGGCTCATCCGCCCTGGATTCCCTGTATTTTCAGTTCCTATCTGTACCAGCGTACATCCTCTGGTCTAGCCAGACCTGCAAGGTCGAATTCTAGTCATGGTAGTGGGAGTAGGGAGGAAACATTTAGGAACTAGAGGAAAGTTGTATTTTTCATCATTGTTACATCGCACCCTGACTGGCTCATCTCCTCCCCCAAACCCCTCTGCAAGGGGATCTCCAGTGGCCTACTAATGGGCTTTGGGTCTCCACTCTGCACTCCCCCCATCATTCACTATGGTAAGATTTTTTGTTCTGATGATGCCTTATACCTCATCCCTTTGACACCTCGTGGTTGCATAGGCTGGTGTGCTTCTTCCATGTGGGCTTTGTTGCTTCTGAGCTTGATGGCCGCTTGATTACCTTCAAGCCTTTAAGACCCCAGATGCTATACTTTTTGATAGCCGCGCACCATCAGCTTTCTTTGCCAAAGCTTGAAGGTAAACAAGCGACCATCTAGCTCAGAAGCAACAAAGCCCACAGGGAACAACATATCAGCCTGTATGATCACGAGGTATTGAACGGATCACTGAAGACAAATGGGTGCATAAGCAAATATTGCCATCTTGCTGGGTACAAAATGAGCTATCTTATACGTGGGACAGGAGGATCTTACTACATCAAGAAAGAGGAACTAGGAAGTGAGTGTGCTCTCAGACTCCCAAGATCCCCTCCTCCAGTCAGGTATATGATATGTTCCCACTGCCAAGAAATCAGTTCTGACTCACAATGACGCTGTAGGACAGGGAAGAACGACTGTGTTTGGGTGTCTGAAATTTAGCAAATTGATGGGAATGCTGTCACTACAAATCAAGAGTTTTCAGATGAATCAAGTGTTTTCAGGAGGGTTGAGACTCCTAAGATGAGCTAAGAGAGGAAAGATTGTCAACATTGACAGATGAAAAACTGAGACTGAAGTCCAGACCAGCTGGAAGAAGACCACCTCATTGATATCTACTGAGGTTGGAGCTCCACAGATTCCAGCCTTTCCTTTTCAAGGGAGCATCCTGGCCTCAGTAAGACTTTGACTCTGTGAGTATCACGATGACTTTATGGAACAAATTGTAAGTGGGTACTAGTCCTGAGTTTACCAATATCATCTAGAGAACGAGGCCCAGTTCAAATGGTGGCTTCCAAAGCAATTGGCTGAACCAGGAATGTTGACCCAGACTGGTCAGCTCAGACAGTTATAGCAATGACCTTTAGGACTCCAAAGAGGGTAATCTTAATAGGTTCTCTCAAACAACATCAGAATATCATGGGAGCTTTTATAAAGAAGTTTTAAGAAAATTGAAAACAGTATCAGTGAGATAAAGATGATGAAACAAGTGGCCATCTAGCTCAGAAGCAACAAAGTCCACATGGTAGAAGCACACCAGCCTGTGTGCTCATGAGGTGTCGAAGGGATCAGGTATCAGGCATCA